AAACGAGTTAATTTGGCAGAAATATCGGACAATTGGCTTTTGGCCGAACAGCGTCAAGATTCTAAAATTGTTAATATTGTAAATAAATTGAAAGAAAATACTCTTGCTGAGGACATTGCAAAAACGTACGAGTTGAGAGCAGGAATATTATTTCGAAAAATTCAGCGAAATGGTAGAACTCGATCTCTATCAATTGTTCCTCGATCATTTAGATGGTCCGTAATAAATCAGGTCCATGAGTCCATTATGCATTTGGGATGGGAGAAGACCTTAGATAAGGCCTATGACTATTACTGGTTCGATAACATGTCCAAGTACATTCGAAGTTCGTTGAGAAGTGTATTACGTGTAAAATGTCAAAGTCTTCTTCAGGTAAAGTTCAAGTAAGTCTCCATCCAATACCAAAAGTAAATACACCTTGGCACACCATTCACATTGACATAACTGGAAAGTTGAGTGGCAAGTCTGATCAGAAAGAGTATATCATTGTTCAGGTGGATGCCTTTACTAAATTTGTTTATTTAACCCACACGCTTAAAATTGATGCTGAAAGTTGCATAAATGCTGTCACGTCAGCTATTTCTCTGTTTGGAGTACCAAACCGCATGATAGCGGATCAGGGCAGATGTTTCGCCAGCACAAGATTTAGTGAGTTTTGTTCACAACAAAAAATTAAATTGCATTTGATTGCGACAGGTGCAAGTAGAGCGAATGGACAGGTGGAACTCATTATGAGCACCTTAAAGAACTTATTAACTGCTGTTGAAACTAGCAATCGATCTTGGCAAGATGCCTTAGGAGAAGTTCAATTAGCTTTGAACTGTACGGTTAGTCGAGTGACAAAGGCAAGCCCTTTAGAATTGTTTATTGGTAAAGTTGCTCGCCCTTTGGGATTGCTTCCACCCTGCGATTTGGTGGAAAAGGTCGACTTGGCAGAAGTGAGAGCACGAGCAGGTCAAAATATAACAGCTGCAGCAGCATATAACAAGGAGCAATTTGATAAAAACAAGGTTAAAGTTGTTGGATGCAAGGTTGGAGATTTCGTATTGTTAAAAAATGAAGAGAGGCATCAAACAAAGTTAAGTCCAAAGTTTAGGGGGCCATTTCAAATAACTGAATTGTTAGAGGGGGATAGATATATGCTCAGGTCTTTGACAAATAACACTGTGCGACAAAATTTAACGAAATGTTTGTTTGAGTTACTTTTTTGATTGTTTTCGGTTAAGGGGCATAAGTTATGCACAAAAATATTTATGCCACCTTCTAAGTGATAGGATTTCTTTTTTTATGATAAATTTTATGAAATTATTATTATGAAAATATTTAACACAAAATATTATTTTTTTTTTACTTCCAATAAACTGTTATTTTTTTTTAAAGTGAAATTTTTTTCTGATTTTTTTTGGCTTTTTCAGAGGTATCCTCGCGTAACAAGTTCCATACGTAGTCGCCTAGAGTATAGAGCTGGGAGAAAAAAATTTTAAAGCATTGTTATAAAAGCCTAACGGTATATTTGCTTAATATATTTTAATTAATAGATATTGAACTTGCATAAAACGCTTATAACGGTGAAAAAATATTTTCCCAATATGGTATTATAAGGCTGTGAAATATGCAAAAACCCGCGTTTTTGGGACATTTGAGTGTGCGTAGAAGCTGATTGGCTATTGATATTAACAAATCCAAAAACTTGTATTCTTATTTTGACTAGTAGAAGTGAAAAATAAGAAAAAATCAACTCAAACATTTTTTTGTCGCACAGTGTAATAGAAAATATAAATATGCTCATGATGACATAAGAAAAATGCCAGGTGGACAAATACCAGTTGAATTTGAAGGTTATAATAAGAATTTAAATAATGAAATAATTGAAGAAGACACTGTTGAAAGAGACAGTAATGAAAAAGACACTGTTGAAAGAGACAGTAATGAAAAGGACACTGTTGAAAGAGACAGTAATGAAATCATGTAAAGAGAAACTGTTGAAAGAGACAGTACAGGTGCCCTAAGGGCTAATAATAAAATTTGTAATAATAATGTAAGCACAATTGCAAAACAATTGTTTTGATCATGGCGTGTGGCGCATTAGATAATACAATGTAAAAAATGAATGGTTAATGATTATGTAAAAATGAGCTATGTCAAAAAAAAAAAAAAAAAAAAGAGAATTTGTATTAGTAAATATGAAATATGAAGATGTAATTTGTAATGAAAATTATAATGTTAGTTGAGAAATGAGAAGTTATATTTGAATAAACTGTTATAATTTGATTGAACGGTAACAAATCATTTTTGGAAAAATTGCACGAGGTCGTGTAATGGTCAGGATGGCCGTGTCGGCGCACACTAAGAGTGTGTGGATGTTGGTATGAGTGTATGGGTATACCGTTCTCGGGAATTTCACAAGAAGGTTAATTTCATCATTAAACTGATGTTACCATATATGGTAATGTTGCATGTTGTCGCTTTGAGACGGAACGTTTTAGCAGGGCGACAGCGGCGTGTCGCTGTCGCCGAGTGTGGTTCGGTGGTAAGGATAGAAATAAGAAGGGACGACTCGGGCAGTTGCTTATAGACTGTCGTGCGTCCAAAACCGAAACTCGCTGTGCTAATACGATGTCGGAAAACAACGTGGCTGCATCCACTATTAGAGTAATGTGTAATTATACATATACATACATATGTACATACATGCCTGTTACATGTATACATGTATATGTACATACATGCCTGACTTATAAGATGACCTGATCTTAATAGTTATAATTATTTAATAATAAGTTTTCATTTGTATCTCATCTTTCTTTCCCAACCCAATGCTTTATATTTTGGCTACTTCATATTCCTTTGAAAGGATTTCGGGTCAATTGGAAACCCTCAACGTCTTTTATTAAAAATCGATCATTTCTTAAGATTTTATCAATCATATATGGGCCTTTATGTTTTGGAATAAGTTTTCTTGATTGCCCAGGAGTGCTGTCAAAGTTTTTTACCATTATACCATATAATCACCAGGGCTAATATGGATTTGTTCATAATATTTGAGCCAAACATATCTTTCTATAGGTTTTCAGACACTTTAATGCTCAAAATATGGATTTGTTCAAGTGATTGTGTAAAATATGGATTTATAGGGAAAAAAGGCGAAAATATGGAAATAAATATTTTTTCATTTAAAAACATAACTCTGTTAGCCCTGATAATACCCTTCTTTATACTGACCAACATATTTTCTTTTTTCATTATAATATTTTTCGTTTCTTAATTGCGCTTCTTTTTGATTTTTTTCCGCTTTGTTTCTAATTGTGTTTAAATCTCTACTTTCTTCACTATCATTTAATTCATCAAGTTTTTCTTTCAGTTCATCTATAACTTTTCCTTTTTGTTCAACTCCGTACAACATCTTACTTGGAATTTGCTTAATACTTTTTTGCAATGTATTGTTAAACGAATATTCTAGATTTTCAATTACTGTGTCCCAGTGCATACCTTTTTCAGACTCCGTTAACTTGGCGATCATAGGACCTAAACTTCGGTTCACTCTTTCTACCTGTCCATTGGCTTAAGGGGACCCTGTTGCTATCTTTATGTTTTATATTTCTTTCATCTAAAAATTGCTGAAATTCCGCTGACGTGAAACAGCTTCCCCTGTCTGATACAATGCATACTGGTCTGCTATAAGCACGAAAATAATCTGATAGAGCTACTATAACTTCTTTAGTTTTCGTGGTTTTTGTCGGATACAATCTTTTAAACTTTGTAAATGCGTCTATAACAACAAACAAATGCTTCTTTGATCTACCTGCCTCTATTGGTCCGTAATGATCTATATGTATCAACCCAAAAGGTTTATTGCCTTTTGGAATGCTATGTAAAAATCCTTCGCCTTTTCCAGCTTTAGGCGAAAATGCCACATATCTCAAACAATTTTCTATGTGTCCCCCCTGTTCCCTGCGAACTAGTGAGATGTTCAAGGGGGGGCTTAGCTGAGGCCACCAGGCGGGTCGCAGGTTGCGGATAGCGAACGGCCTTCTTCGCAAGGTTAGTTGTGAATAAGCGCAAGCTAATAAGCAACCCCGGACAAACAGCGGGTACACCGGAATCGGTGTACTGATAAGACGCTTGTTTGGCCGTTTTTAAATTGTAGCCTCACACACCCCTCTTCCCTCACAATTACCTACCAACTTCCCTTCCCACAATCTCATTCCGGTGCCGGACTAAGGTGTCATCCGACCCGTGCCGATAGTCAGCCTAGCTGGGGGCCCGGATAAACAACTAGCCCAGTCTCTCACGGAGGGTTCAGGCAAGTGGCGACCGCCTGTCCTAACCGCGCCTTACCCGGGTATGGCGGATCTCTGCCCGGGTGGACCTTACTTTCTCCGCAACTCGTGGGATCCACTATTAGGAAGAATATTAAGACAAACAAGCTACCGCAGGACATCCCTGCCTCGAGTGTCGCAAGACACTTCGAAAATCAACTCCTCGACGGGGAGCGACCACAGGTGGGACCATCCCCACCCAGAAGCGCAGCCACCGCCAGGAGTGCGTCTGGAACGCAAGATGTGGGACATCCCCCACAGCGGTCAACTGTTCCAGTCCGGGAACGTGCGCGACCAGCAGGACCATCCCGGCTGGCTCGCCCACCCCCCGCGGCTGGACAGAGGACCAGGCCTGCCGCAAAGAAGGATGTCCTCCCAGCCAGAGGACAACCTGGAGGCATAGACGACCCCAACAGGAGAGGCCTGCCGGGGTCCAAAGCTAAATGGTACCTCAGATACCTCAAGCAGGGCATGTCACCTGACGAGGCATTGAGGAAGGCAAAGGAGCCACGACCAGCGGCCCCAAGTAGTGCACCTGCCAGCAAGCGGGGTAACAGCACCCTCACCCCTCCGACAGACACCCCTAAAAGGTCGAAGTCAGAGGGCACTAATGAGGTCAAGGCAACTCCCTCCTGCCCAAAGCTTGAGGAGCCTTGTACCTCAAAGGCGGCGGCAGCACGAATGAAGCAGCCACCCTCCAGCTCCACAGCCCCTCTTACTGGCACGCACACCTCCTATGCGGAGGCTGCCAAGAGGGTCAGAGTGGCGGTGTTACCTGCGGAGTTCCCACAGGTGCACTTGAGCCACGATGAACTTTCCGAGTTGGAGGAGGCCATCATGGACGACATAATCACGTCGGCATGGGACACGGCAGTTGCATTTAGGGGCATCCACTTCAGGGTAGGATACCTCATAATCGACTGCCTGGATCAGGATTCAGTGGACTGGCTGAGGGCCGTTGTGCCCATGCTCAGAACGTGGAAGGGCGTGCCCCTAGATACCAGGGTGAGAGAAGACATCCCCGCGGCATTCAATGTCATGGTCTTGTGCCCCAGAAGCGCGGAAAGAAGTAATGAGGAACTCCTCATGATGCTTGGGCGCCAGAACAGGCTGGAGACAGATGCCTGGAAGGTGGTCTCTCGGAAGAACGACGGAGGCGGGGCACTCCTAGTCATCGGGATCGACCAGCTCACACGAGACGAGATTGTAGCTAGAGGGCACCAGCTCAACTTTAGGTTCGGTACCGTCTCGGTGAGTGGGCTGAGAAAGGCGGCAAAGGTGGCCGCAGCAGAAGGACCGCCCTCTGGTCCCCCAGATGGCAAAGTGGAGGTCAAGGAATCTCTCGACGAGCCACAGGAGCCTATGGGTACAGAGGAGGACCCTAGCGCCGCTATTGATGTGAGGAGTGAGGATGAGGAGCATCCTACGCCCTCCCAGGAGTCGACACATGCGTCTCTCCTGGACTATAACGACGAAATGGAGGCCGACGTCACTCTGACGGATGGCAGTGAAAGGGAACACCCGCCCCCTTCACCAAAGATGGAGCATCCGCTCCAGTGATGGCTGCATACAGGCTAGCCCAGGTGAACCTACACCGAGCCAAGGCGGCATCAGCCGTCCTAACCAGGTTATTCACCAACCAACATATCGGGCTAGCTCTCATTCAGGAGCCTTGGTGCAATCAGGGCATTAAAGGCCTGTACACCAAGGAATCAAAGGTAATATGCGACCAACGGGGTGCACACCCAGGAGCATGCATATTAATAAGAAAAGATATCAATTATAATATCTTTTCAGAGTTCCTAAGTAGTGACTGTGTCGCGGTAACGCTGAGCGGCACAGGAAAGTTACCAGCGAACGCCATAGCATCGGCGTATTTTGCTGGGGATGCAGCATGCCCACCACCGGAAATCATCGGACTCGTGGAATGCTGCAGGAGGAAGAAGATACCCCTAATCATCGGGTGTGACGCCAATGCACATCACGTGATATGGGGAAGCACCGACGTCAACAACAAAGGTGAGCAGCTAATAGAATTTATTGTAAATAGTAACCTAGAAATCGGTAATGTCGGGTCCACACCGACATTCATTACTAGAGTAAGAGAGGAGGTCCTAGACATAACTCTGATGAGCAGGTCTCTAGGACCACTTATCAAGAACTGGCATGTGTCGCCAGAGGAATCAATGTCAGATCACCGAATCATTAGATTTGAAGTAGACTTCAACACCGCTAGGGACGCCCCCAAAAGGAATCCCAAGAAAACGAACTGGGATTGGTTCAAGTCCTCCCTTGAGCTCAATCTCTGTAACGAACCGTTAGGTATACCCAGACATTCTTTAGAATTGGATCAGGCAGTGGATAACCTCTGCAAGAAGATAACCAATGCTTTTGAGGACAGTTGCCCTCTTGGCAGACGGAAAGCAGCTAGAGACGCCCCATGGTGGAACGACAACCTGGAACGGCTCAGAATCTCCACCCGCCGGCTCTTCAACAGAGCAAAAACGAGCGAGGATAACTGGAGACAATATAGACACAGCCTGACGCTCTACAACAAAGAGATCAGGAAGGCCAAACGGAAGAACTACAGAGACTTCTGTGAGGCAATCAGCACAGCCCATGAAGGGGCAAGATTGCACAAGGCTATGGCCAAAGTTGCACCAGAAAGTAACCTAGCCCTGAGGAAATGTGACAACGCTTACACTTCCGACGACAGGGATAAACTAGCTTTACTCTTTAAAAAACACTTCCCCGGGAGCTCACCCCTGGCGGAAGATACGCTCAACCCAATGGAGGCACCGTCCAGCACAGTTCTTAAGGACTGTCCGCTGCAACCCACGCAGCACGCATACAGGGCAGGTCGTTCAACAGACACTGCACTGTACCAACTTTGTCACACTCTTGAAGGGGTAGTAGACAACAAAGAAGTTGCAATCTGCGCCTTTTTGGATATAGAGGGAGCCTTTGAAAATGCGTCGCATGATGCTGTCTTAGCGGCCCTCGCCAGAAGGAATATAGACGCGACAACAAGAAGGTGGATTGGAGCCTTGTTAAGCTCCAGGCAGGCAATGGCGACCATTGGCAACAGCACAATGACCGTTGCCACAAGCAGAGGATGTCCGCAAGGTGGAGTCTTGTCTCCTTTACTGTGGAGCCTACTAGTAGATGAACTACTAAAGAAACTCGCCGACAGAGGAATACAATGTCAGGGCTATGCCGATGACATAGTAATAGTAGCCAAAGGGAAATTTGAAGAAACGCTTTGCGATATTGTCCAACTCGGACTCAAGATGACGCTCGACTGGTGCAAGGAAGTTGGACTTAACCTCAACCCCGCAAAAACAGTCATTGTTCCTTTTACAAAGAAGTACAAACTGAAGAAGATGAGACAAATCATACTACTAGGTACTCCCGTAGCAATAAGCCGGGAAGTTAAGTACCTCGGAGTTACCTTCGACAGGAGGCTAACGTTTGCAACCCATATGCAAAAGACAGTGGATAAGTGCCTCAGGGCTCTCTTCACCTGTCGGAAAATTGCAAGGAAATCAAGGGGGACCTCACCCCAAATTATCAGATGGCTATACCTTATAATTGTGAGGCCAATACTCACATATGGGTCAGTAGCCTGGGGTAAACGAGCTAGGCTCGTTACCGCACAGAAACAGCTCCAAAGGCTGCAAAGACTGGCATGCATATGTATGACAGGAGCAATGAGAACCTGCCCCACTGCGGTACTGGAAGTTCTCATGGAACTCACTCCGCTACACTGCGTAGTAGAGTTACAGCGGAAGGCCACCCTACTAAGAATCACTTCTTGTGGTAATGGCAGTGACCGCATCCTCAGTTCTAGGGATGCAGCAAAACTACTAGTCGAACTTCCCCTGAGCTCACACCCCAGGGACGAAATGACAGTAGAATTCATCTTTGAAAAGAATTTTTCTGCTCATCTGATCAACAAGAAAGAATGGACCACCATGAAGGAAGTACACACCATGGCGAGTCACACTATAGCATGGTATACGGACGGGTCTTTAACACACCAAGGCACTGGCCTTGGAGTAGTAGGACCACGAATCAAATACCATGAATCGTTAGGCCAATACACCAGCATATTCCAAGCTGAAGTTTGCGCCATAGGACGGTGTGCAGAGCTCAATATGAAGCGTGGGTACACAAACAAGGACATTGCGATCCTCTCGGACAGTCGAGCGGCAATTACTGCACTATGCAGCAATAGAATCACTTCGAAGCTGGTACGAGAAGTAAGGACAAAGCTGAACCTTCTGGGCAGCAACAACAGGTTGTCATTAAGATGGATTCTTGGACACAAAGACATATCCGGGAACGAACTAGCCGACAGGCTAGCAAAACTAGGGGCGGAAAGACCCCTTATAGGAACCGAGCCTTACTGTGGCATAGGCAGACACACAGTCAAAGATTACCTAAGAACAGAAGAGGTACATATGAGGCAAGCCTGCTGGGTAGACCCCACAGGCCAAAGACAAGCCAAAACCCTCATCGTCAATTATGACATGAAGAGGTTTAAGAAACTTATACTACTAGGGAAGAGATCACTTAGGATAGTTACCGGCTTACTAACCGGACACTGTAAACTAAGGAGACACCTATTTAATATGGGGATTACAAACAGGAAAACATGCAGATTCTGTGATAACGAGGATGAAACCTCAATACACATAATATCTGATCGCCCAGCACTAAGTAGCCTGAGGAGCAGAACCCTCGGGTCCAGGTTCCTTACACTTGGGACCTCTGGAAGCATCGACCCGATAAAGCTCCTTAACCTTATCGAAGGAGCCGGGTTGATGGGTGAGCTCTAAGCTCAGATAGGGGGTACAATAGATCCAGTTGGGTCGAGGTAACCTTTTCCCCCCTAATAATAATAATAATAATAATAACAACTTTTTCCTTCATTTTCGAAAACCAATACCTATCTCTTAATAATTGCGTTCATTACTTTGTCTCTTCCTACATGCCCTAACTCGTTATGATACTTAAACAACACCGGTTCTTCCATCTCTTTCGGAACATAAAATAATAATCTACTATCATTTGTTTTTCTGTAAACGACCCCATTTCTCATCTCAAACAGTTTGTCCTCAGACTTTTCTAATTTTTTTATTATTTCCTGTAATTTAATATCTCTATGTTGGCAAATTACTAAATTATTCTTAAAACTATTACTTTCTACTACACCTATATTTGAACTTCTACTTAATGCATCCACATGCTGCATCCTTTTTCCTAGTCGATGTTCTAAATCAAAATCATATTCCAATAACTCTAACGCCCATCTAGCTATTCTTGGATTTAAATCCACTTTAATAATAATTGGCCATCACAACCCTTGACGGGTCACAGCCTGTTGCACGATTTGCCTCCACGCATCCCTGTCCTGGGCGCGCCTTCTCCAGTTGGCAGCACGGGATGACAGCGCTTCCATCACCTGGTCTTGCCAACGCATCCGGGGTCGTCCTCTCCTCCGTTTCCCAAGAATTACCGCATCAAACACCTTACGGGCCGGAGCGTCTTCTTCCATACGGGCGATGTGACCCAGCCAGCGGAGTCTGTGAATTTTAACTCGACTGACTACATCAACATCCCCGTATAGCTCATACAGCTCGTGGTTTCATCTAATGCGATAGGCATCGCCAACGCAAATCGGACCAAAGATCTTGCGGAGAATCTTTCTCTCGAACACTCCAAGAGCGGCTGCATCGGATTGCACCACTGTCCAGCACTCCGCACCATATAAGAGTACTGGAAGAATGAGCGTCTTGTATAGTGTTATTTTTGCCTGTCGAGAGAGAGCTCTACTGTTGAAATGCCTACTGAGCCCAAAGTAACACCTGTTGGCAAGTGTGACTCTCCGCTTAATCTCTAGGCTGACATCGTTTGTGCTAGTTATAGCCAAGGTAGATGAATTCCTTGACGGACTCAAAGCTATAGCTTTGATTCTCTGCGATTCTCCGCGATTCTCTGCTTGAGCACACCATAAACTTTGTCTTGTCCATGTTCACTGCTAGTCCTACTTTAGCCAACTCTTTTTCAATAGCCCCAAAGGCTGCTGTAACATCACGCTTGGTTCGGCCAATGATATCAATATCATCAGCGTAACCAAGGAGTTGGACACACCTGTTTGACAGAATCGTGCCCGTCCGATGCACACCAGCCTTCCTTACAATACTCTCCATTAGAATATTGAAGAGCATGCAAGATAGCGACTCACGTTGTCTGAGACCACACTTGGTACTAAAGGTTTCGGATTGGTCGTTTCCTACCTTGACAGAGCTGATGGTGTTGCTCAATGTCATCCTGCAAAGCCGTATCAGCTTTGCTGGTATACCAAGCTCAGACATGGCGGCATATAGGCGATCTCGCCGGGGACTATCGAATGCAGCCTTGTAATCGACGAATAGATGATGGGTGTCGATCTGGTTCTCATAGGACTTCTCCAGGATTTGGCGCAAGGTGAAAATCTGGTCAATAGTGGATTTGCCAGGCCTGAACCCGCACTGATAAGGTCCAATCAGTGCTTC